CCCCAATCACAAGCTATGCAATTGTCACAACTCCTTAGTCTACAATAAGAGAAACGATACTATCGTTATCATTTAAGCGTCATAACTATTATGTATCGACCACAACCTATTTTACGTTGAAACGGACAACACCTCCCCTATATATATAACTTCACAGCATTCCAAACAATCACCAAACAGCCCAAACAACATAAATAACAAACATATTGAGCCTCCCAAAATAGTCCACGCACAACCCTATTACATCATACATACGACGACCACCATAGTCGTGTCAAACGACCCGGAAATGTTACGAATCACTATCAGCCCACAACCCTACATATATATGGTGTTCCTCCACACCCTTCCACCTCCAAAACTCCACAAAATAGTAGTAAAACACGCAGCCCAATAGCAACACAAAACAGTCCACAAAACAGTCCGCTACAAGTGAATAACTCGAACTCACGGCTTCCGATCACCGTCCCATGAGTTCTTACATGTATAGAACGAATTACCATGAATTAACCGCAGAGAAAAATGTATGAAAGATGGCAGTAACTTACCTTACTTATTGGATAACTCAGCTCTTCCCTTGGTTCTTCAAACTCTAGGTTTTACTTTCAAATAGAACTTGAAAGAGAGGGAAAATCGATTAGGGTTTGTGTGGGATTTTTGGGGAGGAGTTGCAGGGGTTAACTTTGGTTTTGAGGGTCTGAAATATGGATGAAATAACTGAGTTCATAATCCCTTAAATGTCCTCTCTTGGCCGACTTAGGTCTTTTAATTTTGTCCTCTTATTTTGGCAAGTAGGTGATGCACCTAATTGTCATCTACTAATCTGCGCAGGCTTGCAAAAATATGAATATCTCTATATTACGAGATTTTATTGACAAATGGTTTAATGCATTGGAAACTAGACTCGTAGATCTTTAATTTGGTGGGTAGATCGCCCCGTAATTCCTTGTAAATTAGTAGAGAATCTTAGAAACATTTAACCTAATGTTTAAGTAAAATTATGAACCTAAGTTGCGACAACGTTTGTCGACTTTTGTTTCATAACTCGTTTGACTTCAAGACTTATGATACGGATATTATATGATTAAAATACCTTAATACATGACCT